CTAATTTTTGCCTCGCCAACTAACACAAATTTTAAGTAAATACTGTAAAGCACTAGATGCAGGAAAGGCAGCAGACACAGTTTGCAAAAATGCACCTTCAACCGACCCAGTCAACTTTATGTATCGAAGAACATCCAAGAAGATTGGAAACTCACTCCTCTGGCAACACCTTAAGTATGGAACTGACACATGGGCTGTCAACTTCCCCGGATATTCTTGAATGTTCGGATAAATGTCATGATTTGACGGGTGTTCAAATTGCTATGCCTTGCATGTAATGTGAGAAGTTGAGCATTTGGGTTTCGGAAAGGGGTGGGTTTGAGTTTTCTTTCATACTTGCGCTATTTGGGTATATTTGGGTAAACCTTTTTGTGATTTTTGTTTAGGTCGCTTTATTGCAGTGGTGGGATGACGAGGAACATGGTATGCGGGCATATAGATTTATCAGAACAGAATGATGAACTCACATTCTTTCCAAATCTTTGCAAATCTTGGACCTTACTATTCGATGTTCTAGGCCTGTCGCAAGGTATTTGTTCTAGACCTTGGTCATGTGTTCTAGCCGTTCATCTTCATAGCAAATCGTCGTACAAGGCCTGTAGTTACCATCGAGCAGGCTTTGCACGACAGGTATATAAATATAATTCCTAATTATACTTCTCGCGGACGTGGTTTGCTCTAGGGGAACCGGGGTCTCATTCCGACCCGTACAGAAACATCAAACAATTGAAAATGCTAGGGTAGGCAAACCTAAAATATACGATCTGACGCCTGAAGATTTTCTGTCGCGATTAAGGATTAAAGAAAGTGATAACGCGGTGACTTTCGAGACTTCTTAATTGATATTGAACAGTGACATCTCAAGGAATGAGATTCGCAGGGAGCTGCTTATACCAAAATTCAAACTGATGTCAGCCGTTTCAAGAAGTCCAATCATCAACCTCGCACAGCTGTAATGAGAGCTTTTGCATTTGAACAATATTTGGCGCATCAACTAAGAGATCGTCTTCTCGAGTACGGGCAAATAGTTTGGAAAAGATTGAAAGTGTCAGCTCTAGAGATGAATGTCTTCTTTACCCTCAGACAACTAACCTACGAGTAGGGTGGTGGCAGAATCAATGCGACGAGACTAATCCTAGCGTATCAATATTCCGAAGTTTATGCGAAACGGACATTGACATGCAGCTAGTTGTCTGTTCATTTATATGCTACTAACAATATCCATATAGCCAGGGAGGCGTAAAACATCAGACGACGCCAATAGTTCCTTCACTGTGCCTCTTGATTGCTTGCGAAATCCCTTAGATCAACGTTCTCGGCTTACGGTACATAGATACCTCTTATATCATAGCAATGCGCAACCACTTCAGTCTGCCTTGCAACTTCTCTTGGCCACACCTTAGCAATTGGCAGGTGACATCTTGCAAGAAAGACAACACGGCAGCGAGAACAACCAGCGATTGTCACTCATGCAATATATCGTCTAGAAGAAACCACATAGATTTAGCGACCTAGCCCTGCAAATTATGTATTGAGTATCGTTCGAGATTGAGCTCAAATCCAGAAGACTCCCTCCGCCCACGGTATCATGGCTGAATGTCAGCTGAAGCCGGAGGATCTTTTGAGCCCAATGGGAGTTCTCAGCGCCATGTCTTGAATTTAGATGTCAAAGGTAAGATGCATCATCTCAGTCAGAGTGAATCCTGCGTGTGTTACGTAAGCACAGCCTCTGAGCCTCTGACGTTCTTTATTGTCCTGCCTCAATCCTCTATCAGCTTTACCTGGGTAATATCTATACAAAGTCCCCAAGTTTCTCCTATCCTCTATAACTAAGATTCAGAAGTAACCGTATCCTTAAAGACTAAATTTCTTGTAGCTTCAACGTAGCCCGCATTTCCAGTCAACAAATATCTTGAGGCCAGTCAGTCAGTGCACCCCGAATCCGAAGACATGGGTACTTTTCTGGTATTTTGCACGGCTCAAATGCCAAACGAGGTAAGCCACACAGTTTGATGGATGATTGAACATGCATTAAATTTTTCTTCCCAGACAATTTCAGCATTCGTGACGCAATCTACCCGGGCCAAAAGCGCACCCGAAAGCCCATGGATCCTCCAAAAATCCCCAGATGAAGATGTCCATGGGCCTGAACTCACTCTTCCTCTACCAAGTCCATCATTTACTACTGGTTTTCAAGACGCACCTCCTGAGACCTTACAAAAGTTCATGGTTGAAAATGTCGTCGACCGTCACGAATTTCCCAACTTCGAGGGCGGAATCGAATGGTATCAATTTGTAGTTCTGGATTCCCAAAGTGTAGAGGACAAAAGTACTTGCTTGGTTTACCATTGCGTGAGACGCATGCCGGAAGGCTCGGCAGAAGATGAATGGGATGAAAAGAAGCTCGTTAGTGAATGGAAGGTCTGGCGCGTCAAGTTTCTCGTGGCATGGTGGTTGACTAGTGGACTGTGTATGAATGACCAAGCTCTGTTCCAGGTTTTCGAAGATGAGAAGGATACATATACCGACAATGATGGGGTGTTACAGATGCCATATTTGGAGAATGATGAGTATGAGTATCCGGATTTGGAGGATCGTGTCCCATGGGGACCAGCTCCTTAGACAGAGAGTATTTCGGTTGTACCTATCTAGTTCCAGTGAACATAACCTTCACTGAAAACACAAATATGAATCACAACATTGGCTAATGGTTATTCTCATCTGCCGACCATCATGCATGATATCAGTCTTGCAATGTTTCGCCGCCTGGTAGTATGACCTTCATGGTTGTTCACAAACTAGTGATATCACAATAGTCAAATCACGCCATAGTTGGTTCTTGTCCTATGCATTCAAATGCCTCATCACCACGGCCAACTCCGAGCAAGAAGAGATTAGTACTGGGTGCTTCAATGACGTTTTGATAGACTGTTGCAAAAATATGACAATTTCAAATCGGATATCTCCATGGAATGCAACTCTCAGTAATTGTCCGAAGAGCATTGACTGTTTATTCAATAGACTTACGTTTACTATACTAGTACACAATTACAGCCGCGGAGAATTTTGGTACCTTCCTGTCGGTATTCTCTCTTCTTGTATGAGACAATAATGCAACTATAAATTCACGGCATCCATTGTCGACTATGTGTTAGCTGTGTGTATTGACGATTCATTTGAACAAACACTAATCCCCCTTATAGAGTCAGTTTCCTTAAAGCTACTCCACAAAACTAACCTGTCTCCAGACTGCCGGTATGTCCTAAGGTACCTCGACACTAGTTGGCTATAGTTCGAACCCTCACTTGGGTCTTTCCATCTACCCCTCTTCCTGTTTTCTTGTATCGGAATTTGTCCGCGTTTGGTCTTGCCCGTAGAATAGTCGTGAGAATCGTAAATTCTGTTCATTCTGTCTTCTCATGTCCATTCGGCGACCTAGGTGGATAATGAGAACAAAAGAAATCTATATGAACATTATGTATCGCCTAATACGATCTCAAATGGTCCGATTGTTGTCAACACTGCTTCATCGCATTCAAAAGGTCAGCACTAAAAGGCCTCGATCGTATGCAAACTTTGAATTGTAATACATCTTCATCGAAGGCCAGATGAGTTGGGACAAAAAAGAAATGGTAGAAGCAGAAGTCAAGGGTTCACGGATCGGAAAATCGAGAAAAAAACCTCTCGATGCACGCTGATTCCTGATTTTTCTCGCAAGTAAAAAAAACTAGAGTGGTAAGAGGTTAGCGACAATGTCCTTTCGCGGTCTGACCACAAGCTTGGAGACGATCCGTCTGATTATCCGTAAGAATAGACGAAGTACAGAAAAAAGCAAAACTAAAGTAATCTTTCAATGGATCCTGCGAAAGAAAACTGCTAAGCAGATAAAACAACGCTGGATGGTTAGGACGACGTTGGCGCGAGGTTTAGGTGAAGTGGAGCTTGGGAAGCAGCTTTTCCAAGTGCTAGATGAGGAGACATGCAGAATCTATTGTGGAAGAAGAGATATATCTGCAGACTAGACAGATCTAGCTCGAGAAGTAGACGAGAAACGGTCAAGATCCTAGACGGTAGAGACATAACTGGTGATTCACCAGTTGTGATGAAATTTTCGTAGATAATGCAAGCGCTGTTTTTTTGCTTCTTTCTTTATGACAGCATTTCCACCGGTGCAGGTGCAACTGCAACTGCACGGGCCTCGGGATCGTCGGGGGATACCGAGAAGTGGGCGAGCTGGTGAGCCGTGGTGGGTTCTCACAGACGTCTATCGCAATTCTGCTGTAAACAAAGCACTGTCAAAATTGGGATGCCGAGGGTTAAGCATTTCTAAAATTGTTTTGCGAGTAATTCCCATCGTGCCATGACTGGTGCTCATTTTCAGCTGTCGTGTGTAAGTAATACCCACATCTTTGTGTCACTGGGTCTTCGAAGCGTTGTCAAACTGCAACACATCTTGGTGTTTGACAACGCCCAAAAGAAAGTGTTGGACGCCCTGTGGTGTTTCGGATATAAGATCATGTTGATCATATTGACGAGTCCAGAATGTTGGGAATCTGGAAACTGGAGATCGAAGTAGAAAAGCTTGCGAAGACCCCTTTCATTTCCTTTCCTTTTTCGGCGTTAAATCGGTGGTCACATCGAGCCCTATGCAGCAACGATCCTTGAGGGTGGATTACACTCGGCACTTGACTCTTTAGTTGCTTATTTCCTCACAGTGTACAACGTTGCGAGTCATCAACTCTCAGCATAGTCTATAACTGATTCATCATTTGACGAGTTCCTCATCTTCAAGATTCCCGGTCTTGGTGGACGGAGAATGGGAATAACATTGTTGCCGGTACTACAGCTGGCAACGTTAGACGAATACGATCTCATGTTGACTATTTCAGCCGTCCAGGGCCATGCCCCATCCATACTTCTGAAGCTAATCCCCGCACTTTGGCAGTGCCCAATAACCTTATCCGGGGAATCTATCGATTCAACACCGTATCCGGTCTTCATTCGTCTGCTAATGCCCAATAGGAGTCGATAGTCCGTGCGTTATAACCTTTCCCTCATAGTGAAAGGGATCTGACATCGTCCATATCCCGAGACTTTCATTAAATCACCTCCCTTAAACGCTCCCTAGACTAGCTCCATGCTCGAACTTTATAACAAGTAGTTGCCGTTCGTCAAAACAAAAGACAGACATCTGTGCTCATAGTCTAGAGGTCAATTGGAGATTCTGAATGATATTCTCAGTATGATTAGCCTAGTGGATAATTGGAGATCTGCCAACGCCATTGAGCGTTGATGAATAAAAGATTGAGGGTTCGTGACACAAACATGGGTCTCCCGCAGTAAAATCTAGTGGCTTGCAGTAGTTGAGAAGCATACATTATTGAAGTCTGTGTAGGAAAGATACTTTCCATCCCGTCCCCCCTACAGGCTTAGTATATCAAGGTGGAGTTGCCTTGCGTTAGGCACGGATCTTTCCCTCGATACATTTTTGGAGCCGCAGTAGTGAGCTGTTAGCACTGTCACTTTCTTATTTGACCGTTTCGACCGTTTTCCTACGACTATATACTTCAACTAATGTACTTCCATCTCGCATTAATGTAGACCACATACTTTTCGAGATGCAGCTTCCCTCTCCTGAGATCCTCGCCTCTTGGCCAGTCCCGAATTATGACGACCCTATAACGCGAGGGTGTGGAGTTTTAATCGTCACCGCAATATTATTACCTCTAGTTCTATCCCTAATATTCATCAGGCTCTACACTCGACTGGTAATGTCAAAGAGTTTCGGATTAGATGACTGGCTCATACTTGCAGCAATGCTGCCATCGACAACATTTGCTTTCCTCGCCATTCTCGCAGAGAAAAAGTTTCACTTCAATCGACATATATGGGATGTTGAATTCAATCGGGTTACCTTTGGTCTACAATACGTTATAATCACACAAATCGTTTTCACTCTTGGACAAACTCTCACAAAATGTTCTATGTTGGCATTATATTACCGAATTCTATCAAGCGGGCGAAGGTTCAAGATGATGACCATTGTGGCTTCCATTATAATCGCCGTTCAAGGCCTTGTATTTATCATCGTTACTATTTTCCAATGCCGGTTAGTGGACTCACATCTCGATGCCCGTCTTGGGTCACATCAATATCATTGACTTACCCAAAAACCAGACCACCCTCTCATTTCTGGCTTATAACGTTCGCTCCTCAGCCAGAATGCATCGATGAAACTCTTCATATCACGATTGCTGGAACCATAAATACCGTGACTGACTGTATCGTCGTTTTATTCCCAATCCCGAGAATGCTACAATTGCAGATCTCTCATCGTCAACGGCTCATCATTATTTTCCTCTTCGGCGCCGGATTTCTCGTCTGTGTAGCTGGGGCTGTGAGAACATACTACACTTATGTAGAGTTGATTTCACCGGATATGACATGGGACACTTATTATGTTTGGATAAGTGGTACCGTTGAGCTTTATGTTGGCATAGTAAGCATCTCCAATTTGTCTTGACGTCACAGGATACACAGTGAACAGTTCTAACATAATTTTAGATTGGAGCGTCCGTTCCTCCCACGAAACCTTTCTTCACACGTTACATACCTTTTATCCTTCCCCGCTCTTTACATTCCAGCCGAAATGAGCACTATGCCATCTCCTCAGCGGACAAGGGACCGTTCTCAGGATCCACAACAGTCGCTACTCCAAGAGCCTCTCGTACCTCACGCAAACTCTCACGTGACGATCTTGAACTAGGTGATGTTCGAGAGCGAGAACTCAGATCAACAAGACGCTCAAGGAATCTGGATGCAATTGAAGAGATTGGAAGTGATGCCAGCATTTCGAGTTTTATGAGAATGGATGAGGGGGAAAGGAGAAGGAGTAGTGATGAATTTAAAAGCGACGAAAACGAGATAGGAAAGAGAGATAGTGATACGAGACCAAGAAGTGAGGATACCTTTCGCTACACAACGAATTCGAAAGATGAATCAATCGATGAAGGAGATTTGGGTATGGCGGCTCATTACAAGCCGCGATATTCCGTGTGAAGAATGGCGGACTTAGTAAAATAGGAACGGAGTTTTTGAAAAGTTATGTCTATCTAAGGAGTCAAAGGGGCGTCAAGCGAACGGTTGGTTGATGAAAATACCCATCTCTCTGAGAGATTGAGCAATGAGATTCGATTTTTGCAATAATATCTGTATATAGTATAGTTTTGTGCTAGGAACAATACTCTATAATGTAATTTTTTTTTAAAAAAAAAACATCCGGAGATACTCTTTGATTTCCACTCTTCCAAGTCGCCGACCTTCAGATAAACTAACATGTGTTTCTAACTACTTTTAACTCTGCTATAGCTGTACTGTGCGCTACGGACTTCCCCTAACTATACCGAACGCCTCATACTAGTTTCTGCTACTAGCAAACTGCCGTTGGTACCTGCCATGACTTTTCATCTGATGAATGATGTAATGACTATAGTTCCCGTCTAAGATCTTGTTGCAGATCGTACGAGATGCGATCTAGTGGCTGCTTATCAGATCTCAGGGTTCAATGCTTCATATTGATTACCCACACAGCATTGTATATTACCAAATCGATAGAAATGCCGAAATTGTTGCTCTCATATCGATACTGTCCTCCGAATCTCTAGTATTACTAGTACCATTCCTCAAACTTAATTCGGTCTCCACGATTCGCTTATTCAGTTAACTTTCCACTACCTGTTCCCCATTATCATCCTTTCTTATTCATGCATTTATCTGATCTAGACTTTATTTTTGGTCCTTTTACTCTTCTATAATCAAAACTCTCACACATAACTCCCTTTTACCGGGATTAAGTACTCTCGTTCCGAAATTAGCTTGAGAATTCCATGCAGTAAATAGGCTGCGTGTAGGCGTTATCCCACATCCTCTCATCCGTCCACCCGAAATTCAAAACGGGATTCCATCCGCAAATTATGTCCCACTCGTGTAAATAGATTGATGATATAAATCGAGTGAAGCAATATAGATGAGAAAGTATCTCGGATGCTATACCTCTTGTAATTGTTGGGGTAGGAGATATAACAGCGGAGGGGCAGCTACATGACTTCCAAATCTGTGATAGCCGAGAAATGGACTCCAGGTTAACAAACGTCGGGGGCTGGGATATAGAACTCGAATTAAATGCTGATTTTCGCACTCGAGGATTCGTATCTTAGTATTCCTGTGCGTCATCAATATCTTGCAAGAATGACAAAACCTTCTTTTTTGACTCCGAAATGACTACATTCCTGTTGAATTTCCCGCTCGATATGCTCTTCGCGAAGGAGCTGGTGAATGGTTATACGAATCTTATGATTTCGTTTGATAAGTGATTGCAAATGAGTGTTGAGTTTTAGAGGTGGGATACTCGGTAGATGCTTATTAAATGGCTCTCCTTCATGAACTTTAAGACCGGTTGGATCACCACTTGAATTAAGATGTAAATGTTAACAGCAAAGACAGATTCAAGAAAATATAAAAGGAATTCACTGAAAGATGAATACTCCAACTTATGTATCACTTGCAAATCACCACCAATGAAAGATGTATACTAAAGAGAAGAGATACCGTAAAATCCATCCACACCTCAACGCCTCCATATTCCTCTTATTCCAAGCCCCCCATAAATTTCAACACCACCCCTTAAAACCCCGGTCCAAAATTGCCATCACCACTAGATAGATTCTATAATCAGCAAATCTTCCCACAAACCAAAACAAAAACCAACAAAAAAATCCCCCCCAAATACTCACGTCCCCACCCCCTGCAAATCCAAGCTCCAAACCACCGTTCCCCCAATACAAAGCGCATCCGCAAATTTCCTCTTCACCCCCCAACTCTCCACATCATCAAACCCCATCCACTGTTTCCCCCCTCCAAACACAATCTGTTTCACGCCCATCCCCCCCTCCTCCGCCGCGCTCGCTCCCACCCACGTACTCTTCAACCCCTCTCTCTGCACCAACACCTCAATCTCCCTCATACTCAGAATTCCCGCTTCCGTCGTACACGGCCCGGGATCGCTGGGCCCGACGTACGCACATCCGAGATCCGCACACGCCGGATTCGCAAGCGTGTAGCCGCGTCCGTAGGCGGCAAGTCCGAGATTCACTTTCGCGGGATCGACGCCTGCGAACCAGAGGGGAGAAATGGCCGTCGTGATGTCTGGGAGAGAGGTTTGTGGTCGCACGAAAGCGCCCAGGGAGGGGTTGGAGGCTTCCCAGGGGCCGTGGAGGTCGTAGGACATGAAGTTGAAGAAGGTGATGTAGGGTTCTAGATTTATGGGATCGAAGAATTGGAGGGAGGAGATATCTGGTGGTCTATTTCGTGATTAGTTCAAGCTCATGATTCTTTCGTCTCTTGTGCAAAGAAGTAAATAGATGGATGATTGAAGAGAAGCGAAGCGAAAACGACTCACAAAACCACACTAATCCCCCAATTTTTCCCCGGATAATTCGCAGTAAAACTCTCCCTCATCTCTCTCACCAACGCCACAAACCCATCTCGATCATTACTACTACTCGGAAACTCCCAATCCAGATCTACCCCCTGAAAATCAAACGTACTCAACCATCCCTCCACACTATTAATAAACGCCGCTCGATTCCCCTGATTCGACACCATCTGGCTCCAAATCAGCGGCAAGACACTCGATCCACCGCCCCCAATCGCCATATACGTCGCCAAAGTCGCAGAAGCAAGAGTAGTAAAGGGATACATGAGAGGTACGGCGGTGGTATCGAAAGGAACCACGTGGAAAGTATTGGGAGAGATAGACATGAAGGCGAAGATGAGATGCGTGATATTTTGAGTGGGGATCAGAGAGACAGGGAGCGCATTGCAGGAACGCGTCGCGCTGCCAATTTGCCAGTAGGAGACTTTGCGTCCATTGCTGGCGGTTGTGCTGCCCGAACCGCAGTTGGGGAAGTTTATTAGGCCGCAGGCGCCGAAGCCGCGTTGGCATGGCGCGTTGCCGTTGATGGGGTCGGCGTTGATGCAATAGGCGAATGTGGTCTGTGATTACAAGTCAGTTACGAGCGTATCGTATATGACTCGATGTCGCAGCAAGATCTGTGCGTATCATACGGGATTCGAAAATACATACCCCGCAGTATCCATTGCCGCTACAGCAAGTATTCAGAGGACATACTTGACTTCCCTGTGGAGCATTTTTACCACATTGTGCTACATCTCTGCGAGTCGAAGAGTGATTCGAGATGGAAGTTTTGGTACAATTAGCAGGATTGAGATCACACTGTCCTAACCTTTGACCAAAAGATTAGCATCGTCCCATAAGCACATCAAAGCATGAGCTATCTCGCAGACTCGGGTAAATTTGGGCCAAGAAGCAGCTTTCAGGAAGCAAGACGACTCACTAAAGGAAAATTAGAACCTCTTCACTTCATGTACTATTAGCCAACCAATTCATTATGAGAAGAACTTGCCGAATCACAACAATCCCCTTCAAAACCCAACTCTCGATGCAATAGTACCAGTCCCACATCACAAATCCCCAGATAAAGCAAACCAAACATGGAAAATGTCCAAAAACGCATGATAGCCGAATCGAATAAATCTCACTCAGACTTCCCCAAAACACCGCAGAAAGGCAAGAAATATATCCCCCCGTAATTCCTGTGTATAAAGGAACAAAAACTCCGCTATATATGCATCTGATAACTTTTGCGTTCGCAAGAATTGAGCAGGTGAGCGGGAAATCCCTCATCCGCAACCAAACCATTGAATGCAAATTGCGAAGAGTCTGGAAGGTAATGTCTCCCTGCCTAGTATGTGAATTCACTAGTCATTCAGTAGGGCATTTTCTGGAAATGAGGGCGTACTGCAACGAACAGAGCCGAGACATTTCAACGCCTTTGCACAACTCCAAATCCCAAGAAGGTATGAAAGAACTCTAAACGCCATAGATGGAAACATGTGAAAACTGTACTACCCTTTGTAATCCGAGGTATCGATTGTGATAACACCAATCTCCCACCTGCCAAGGGGTCTAGTCGTTTTGGTACCACGCTTTACTAACCTTGAGGGTAAGACTAGGTATTGCATAAAATTAATGTATTGACTGGAGCTAACTCTACTGGAGTAAGGATCCCTTACATGAAGATATTTTAGACGAAACCATGTTGAACCGAGATGCATGGAATGCTTTGCCTTCATAACTAATATCCTACAACTTTCTACTCTTAACCAGACCAGTCTTAATACCGGTTTTCTCACCACCATAACCGCCTCTCTCTTCTCCACCCTTGTACACAGCTCTCATACTGCCCAACTTCTTCTTCTTCTCGTCATACTTCATCCTCTTCTTCACTCTCGGGTTTCTGACCTCCTTCTTCCTCTTTGGCGCCAATCCCTTGTTCTTCTCAATTACATATCCGATAGCTCTCTTACCGTCTTCATCATTCTCCACTTCTACTACTCTTGCCAACTTTCCAGCCTTCTTCGCTTCAGAAATTGCGGCATACTTTGCCTCTTTATCATCCTTGCGTTTCTTTGATGTCTGTGCAACCATGTCATAGTACTCGTCTTCATCGCCTCGAACTTCGCCAGCAACAGCTTCTTGATCGTCGTCGTCGCTCTCTCCACCCAGAGCAGTACCTCTGCCGTATTCATCCAATTTCTTTCCACGCTTCTCGGCCTCAAGGTTGAGTCGTGCCTGGCGATCTCTAAGCCTTTCTCTATAAGGTAGATCCTCGTCACCACCGGCCCCCCTCCCTGCGTCGGCTCTCTTGTTCGCTTTCTGAGCGATTTGAGATGTGTAGAACTTGAGTGACTTCTTTCTTTTAGCCTTCTCCTCCGCAGCCTTGGCATCCATGGACTCTTCTTCGCCGAAATCGGAATCATCATCTGCTTCAACAACAGCTCTCGATACCTTCTTTGGCTTCTTAGCTTTAGATACGAGATCATCAAGACCTGCCAAATCTTCTTCTGCTTCCTGGATCTGTTTGCTACGTTTTGCGGCCGCCCTTTCAGCAGCAGCAGCGCGAGCCAGTTCCTTTCTGGATTTCTTCGTTGGTCGAATTGTCTCCATCTCCTCTTCTGATGTGAGTGTATCCTCCATGCCGTCCATAGATATATTCTCGCTTGCATCTTCCGAATCTTCCTCCAACTTTGTGACGTCAATTGACTTGACCCTCAACCATAACTCTCGAGTTGATTTTAAATAATCCATAATCTCATGATCTCGCAATTCTTGTGGATTCATAGTCTTTCCCTCTCCTTCAGGACGCTGCGATGGAGAGGTTAAAAGCGAAAAGTACATGGCGATAGTAGATGTGTAAGCTGCTAAAGCCCTGGCTTTTGTGACTGTAAAAGGTATCGCGTCGATTTCATACTCAGGCAACTGGTCTACTTCCTTCAGTAAATCTTGAAGAACAGGTGCTAGTTCTAGAAATTCGTCTGCCAGGAACTCGAATTCTGGATATCTTGAATATAGTATTCTCAACCTTTCTTCCGGACCCATGTCTTCTGTGATCTCAATATCCTTCAAAACCTCTGTTACCACATCTCCCTCTTCATAATCATAAGCTTCCTCTTTGTTGCCCCCCTTGCCCTTTTTAAGAGCACCTCCCAGGCCTTCCTCGTCATCACTCGCAGGGAGCCATTTGATGTCGAGTTCATCGAGACCGAAAGAAGCTTTAGTCAATTTCGAAAGCCTTTTTTGTTGTAATCGTTTAGCCTCCTCTTCTTCCATCAGGGCGTCGGCTTCCGTTTCGATATTATCCGCATCATAGTAGTCGCGCTTCGAAGATCCCCACCCCTCAGCATATTCGTCTTCCTCTTCCGCATCTTCCTCATCGTTTTCTTGAGCTTTCGATTTCTTCGATTTCGGCGCCTCGTATTCTTCTTCTTCAGAGCTCTCGTCGGAGTACCCTAATACCTCTTCGTCCGACAACTCGACTAATTCATCTGCAAGAACTTTTAGCTTCTATCAAATCCATAATGACAATTAATCTAACCGTCATAATTCGATTTCCTTTGACGCTTAGCATTTGGTTCATCATCCAACATAACTTTATCTCTGTTGATGTGGAATTCATCCTCGGAGTCGGCAATATCTTCATATGTTGTGAAGGCTACTTTTCCTTTGGACTTGTCGAAATCTTGCGTGCGACTTTTGACGCTTTGCCCGGAGGCCTTCCTCTTTTTGCCAGCCATTTTTGTGAATTTGCTCAAATTATCGCGCGAATTACGTGGAATTTTCGTTTCTCTCCTCCTGTAGCTAGAGATTTCGATATCAAAAAATTATTTTCTCATTATCTTAGCGTCGCGCTAGACCATTGATATGATCCTTGTTGCAAAACATCAGAAACACGTGATATGTTCTTAGAAGCTCATGCTCGTGCTCTTCATCGATTCGTCATGCTGGAGTAAGTTTCTCATTAAGAAATACTTTTGTATTTATGATATTTGAAAATTTCCTATGATCTCCTAATAAATTATTGTAATTTTCCCAATATTGTTTCCCTCATGAACGATCCATGTGTGACGCAAAAGCTCAATGCTGTCTTGTTTTTCTACATCCAAAAATATCCCTTTCCACTTCCCTTTTCCCAACACCATGCAAAATAAGACATCTAGAATCCCATTCCATCTCCCAGACCATCACCTCCGAAAGCATCTAGTAGATCACCACCATGGCCGCTTCCGCCCATCATCATTAAATCTTCGTTACCAGCACCCATATCATGCATATCAAGATTAGGTTGATCGACTGGCCCAAGACCAGAATCTCCCATTACAGCATCTCCCATAACCTCATTAAGACCGCCCATACCATTATCATCTGGTAGTAATTGTTGTTGTATGACTGACTGCGCTTCAACTCTTCTAAACAACCTAATGACTGTTTCCGCGTGAAAAGTGTCAGTCTTGTGGACTCTTGGCATATTTTCTGCTTCTGCCTTTAAAGCTTCTCTTAAAGTTAGTCGTCGTTGAAGCAGTTGTGGTGTATTACCACTCATAATATCTATTCCTGAACCCGAGTCAAAGCTTGCAGAATCTGGAGCGCATATTAATGAAATGGCAATGTCCAGTACCACGCTGCCATTACCAGCTTCGGTTTGTGTTTTAACTTCTTCGATAATAGTATTCAGTAATCGTTTTGCACCGAGCATCTTCAATCCAGCAAGAACCTGTCGATGGGTATAGGATGCAGGCATAATTTGCATACCAGGGTTACGGTCACATTGAAGACCCCATTGAACGAGGGTAACAATTGTGTGCTTTATACTGGCAGCCAATCCACCCCCAGGTGTGGCTGTCCATACTTCTAATTCGCTGTATTTACTAGCGCCTCTTCGTTCCCAGCCTACGTTCGACTCCAGTGCTTTCGAAATCGAATCAATGTCGTGACGGTGAGGCTCCGCGCGCTGGAGCCATCGGAGACTTTGTTCAAGATTTTGGGCTATGATCTTGAGGATTGCGTTGAGTAGGTGGGATGCTTCCATGTTGTTTGATATGGATGGAGGACTTTTAATTAAAGCTGACAGGATCTGAAGAACATAGGTCGCCTGAGGGCGTGCTTCCCACAGATGAGCCGAGAGCCATGTGATGCCCGGAATGAGAGAAGGAAGCAAAAATGGTTCAACCATGAATTCCAGACCACCTTTCAAACCTTCTTCCGAGAGAGTCTCTGTGCTAAGTGCTAGCACAATATGGTGAAAGAGAGTGGGCACCAGGAGGTAGAACTCTTGTGGCGGGCAAGATGACATCAGCTCATCACCAAGCCCGCCACCTTCTGGCTCAAACAACCCCCTGATCCATCCATCTAAATGATTTTGATCTTGCTGAGATAATGGATCCAGTGCTCGACTGAGATGGCCTTGAACGAATAGCTTTGCTACAAATGATTCCGCTGGGTTTTTGATGCCCAAGTCAACCGTTGAAAGGTTGTAGCGATGCGCAAATGATACTACCAGGAGCAATATTGATCCAAACTCTTCATAAACAGGTTGATATTCTCCCTGGTCTTCATCATATCGCCAATTATCAAGAAGCTCACAGATTGGTTGCAAAAAGGATGTAGGCTTATTAAAGAGAAGCATTATATCCAAAGAAGATGGATTACGAGCCAATTGACTGCATAAGGTCTTCAAGGTCATTGTCTCTTTATTGCCACACATATGTTTTATAACCTATCATAATTAGTCATGGTTATGAGGAGCTAGCCGAGATACATACCTCTGCAATTGCCTGACTAACAGCGCCAGCATTCCCATCCATATTTTCCAACTCTGAAATCAATCCTTCGGCTCGCTCCGAGTCAGAAAGACATTGTTGAACAAGATCCTGCTTAGAATACCTTCCACCGGCAGGTAAACTTTGCATAGGTATGTCGCCTAGTAGGGTTTCAATACTGGACTCCGGAATTAAGCCATGTAAACAGCAAGCGAAGCAGAAGTCCTGTCT